CTAAACACGGGTAGCGATGACGACGTCTGTAAGTGACATGTCTTCCCTGTCTTCCACGCTCCACAACTAACATCCTTAGACACATGGCCATATCAATCCAACGGCAACTGCACCAACCACTGCAAGGAGGAAGGTACCTATGCCTTTGCTGTTCTAAAATACACCGACTGCTGGTGTTCAAACTACGCCCCCGGGGAGACGGCCGACATCAGCGACTGCCAGAAGGACTGCCCTGGCTTCCCGGCCGAAAAGTGCGGCGACAAGGACAACAACCTGTTCATGTACATCCAAATGGACGGCAAGGTATCCGGTACCATCGGAGGCTCGGAACCCACGTCCTCCGCTGAGCCTTCGAAGACCAAAGATAAACCTACAGAAGCCCCGACTGTTAGTATTCCCCCTCCTCTCTCGCGCGCGTCTTTCTTGTCTTTCATCTCTTTTGGCTTTCTTGATTTCTATGCGTACTATATTGTGCGACCGGTGTTTGACTTCGTGGTAGTCTGCTCCGGCTCCGCCACCAGTCACTGTGACGCCTGACCCGGAGACTGTCATCTCTCTGGTCACCACGGCGCCGTCTTCTACTTCTTCTTCTACTGTATTTGCTCTCAATCCTGTCTGTAGCACATAGCTAACACATCAAGCAGACCGAAAAGCCATCTGCGACTCAATCCGAAGCCGACGATGAACCGACCTCAGCCATGGCACCTGTCACAACGCCAACCGTCCTAACTGAAAGCGGTCGTGTCGTTACCAGAACAGTCGTCTTCACTCCGACCGCGGCTGCCTCAGAGGAAACTAGTCATGACAGCGGCCCGAACGTGGGCGCCATTGCCGGTGGTGTTGCTGGTGGTGTCATCGCTCTGTTAGCCATCGTAGGTGGTGTACTGTTCGTCCTCTGGCGGAAGAAGAGGCAGCAAGACGAGCAAAACGGCGGACATGACGGTGGTTCCGCTGGGATCTCGCGCAATGTGAGCACCATGAGCAGAGCCGGTCTGCTGGGAGGACGTAGCGAAAAGTCACCAACCCAGCTTGTCACAAACTTCGGTTCGCAACGGAGCCGCCACGACGAGGAATCGATCACGCCCGTTACACCGTCGAGTCGCCGATTAAGTCAACCCATCCTAGTCGACTCGCGACTCAACCCAACCGCTGTTTTGACCTTCCACGGCGCGAACGCCAGCCGGGAAAGTCTTGGAAGCATCGACGACAGCCGAGACTACGGACGACAATTGAACGTGCGAAACCCGGATCCGAACGTCAACTAGGGGAAGAGCTTGAACTACCATCTGCGGACTCGATAACGGGTGCGACTACATCACGACCCGTAGAAACTCCGTACATTCACAGAGCACACCTACCATCAGAAAAGTTGGATGTCACCACCGCGCTACGACTGACGAACCTACAACATCATATCCAAAATAACCAGGCGTAATCCATAGCACCGACGCACGGCCGTCTAGTTTGTTTCATTACTGTCTTTGGGGCCTCCACGCCACACGTCTACTCGAGACACTCCTGTCCGGTTCGATCACATCATTAATGGGCGCCAGCATCTGTGTACACTATTTCTCCTTCTTCGCTGGATCTCTGTTATGCGGCAATGTATATACTTATTTAGGGGGTGTGGGAGAAGAACAACATCAGAAAGGCCTCACGGCACTCGGCAGAAAAGGGACACACCTTGCCACACCTAATGGGTCACACCGTCATGGTGTATGGGGATGGCGGAGTCGCAATAGGGATTTGCTGGTAGATTAGTTTAGTTGGAAGAGATGGGACTGCTACGCGTACGTGAATGCGAGTAGCTGCATCACCACTCGATACTTGAATTTAGAAATTACTTGTCAATTTGTGTTTTGGGACTTTCGTTCCTGCTGTTCATTTGTCAACGGCGATCCGAATCATCAACCCTGGCCATATTGCGTCCCGCCAAGGCGCTAAGAAAGGAGATACTCAGCACGACCTGTCGCATCTTACACGTTCGACTTAAAGTCAATCTCATCAACCCACTACTTCTCACCATTGCCCTCTCAAACCTCGGGATGGATAAACTTCCAACGGAAGTCCTCGCCGAGATCGTCGAGTTGCTCCGCGACCGCAAGGATCTCTGGAGCATCAGTTACACAAACAAAAAGCTGCATGCGATTGCCAACGATATCATATACTCCTGTTACGTACTTGACCGTCAGGACGCGTCGTTGTTCATCCGAGCGCTTGCATCGAATCCCAATCTCCAGCGATGCGTTCAACGCGTCAAGTGGAACAGTCCCATCCATGATGAAGGTGCCTTCAAGTTCCCCCGTCTGATCACAGAAGCCGAGTTCGATCAAATCAAGGAGAAAGTGGGATTTCCCTTCCCCGCAGCCTGGCCACGACATAGTACCTTCCTCACCGGGAAACTGGTGGAGGTGAATAACTGGATGCGTCTTCGTACAGAACGCGATCTGTATCTCAGTACGTTCATGTTGTTTACGCCGAACGTCAAGGAGCTTTGCATCTCCACGAAGCGGTGGGGATCTGAAAGCATGTGGTTCGTGCAATCGCTGGTCGGTAAGATTGGCACAAACCTACAGAAGGTGATACTCGACGGCGGAGCGAACGTTGTAAACCTCCTTCCGCTTTTTCTGCTGCCGAAGATGAAAACGCTGATCATGTCCGATCTACTGGCACCCACTCTACACGAGGACGCCGAATTGGAAGCCATCAACCTCGTTTGGGCACGACTGGAAAAAGAAGGATCGAATCTGGAGCATTTGGAAATCTCTCATACTACCACCGACATATTCGATCTCGCCCGCTTGCTGAAAAGCCTCAAAAACCTCAAATTACTCGACTACGAGTTCAGCGGCGGCGGGGGTTCGATCAAGAAGCACAACAGAGACGTACAAACGCTCTTCGAAGCCATCGGAAACCACTGTGCGTCCCTCAACAACATGGCCATCGACGACGACCGTCTAGTGATGAACCCAGGCGCGCTTGAACAACTGCGCGGCTTGGAGAACGTGGAGACTTTCCAAATGACCACGTCCATCTTCTACGAAAAAGTTCATTGTCGTTCCGTTACCAAGGAATTCCTCGCCGAGTCGCTACAACGAAACCTCGGGAACCTGCCCAAGCATCTCAAAACCTTGCGCATCTCAACCAAGACGGGTTATCACGACGTGACGGAAACCTGCTTCGATGTCTTGCTCACACTGGGCCCTGCTATAAAACTTCTCCTCCCTAATCTCGGAACCATTACGTTCTTTGGCTGGCACCCGCAACTAGGTACCTTCCCGTGCCAGACCCGCATCGCTGCCCTCCAGTCTGCGTTTGCGCAGGTAGGGGTAGAGATTGTGTCGGAACATGATACCATAGGCGATTCTGAACGGTGGTATACCAAAACGCGCGTGGGTGCTTCGAGCAAGATTGAAGAAGACTATGTCTGGGTGCAGTTTCTGGGTGAGGATGAGGGTGAGGGGGAGAACCCGTGGGTGGCACGATTTGGGAACCCGTATAGGGGGGATGAGCTGAATGGCCAGGTATGGGATAGTGATGAGGAAGAGGAAGGGGGAGATGATGATGAGGAAGAGGTAGACGGTGATGAGGATGACGAAGACAGTAATGGGGACGAGTGGGAAGATGAAGATGACAATGACGAGACTCCTAATCCCAGTGCTGGTGGCCGACCGCTGAACATGCAAGATATCATGGAGGAAATGGGCATTCTTGCGGCTCAGGGACGAATGCCGGGTATGCCTGGTATGCAGCCAACAAACGACGATAATGAAGAGGATGGAGATGATGGAGAAGAAGGCTCAAACACTCAATTTGGCCCCGGCCGCCCGCTTACCATGCAGGATATCGAGAATGAGATGAGGATCATGATGGGTCAGGGACTGATCTTGAATTTACCTGGTATGCCTGGTTATAGACCGGAGGGTGGGGATGAGGAGAATAGTGATGATGAAGAGGAAGAAGAAGAAGGGTCGAACGATAGCGATGTCGAGCAAGATGAAGACGATTCGAACAAGGACAACGACAACGATCCGCCGCCAGCCCTGGAACCTCCACTCAACACTAGCAACCTGACCCTACAAGAAATCGAGGAAAAGATGAGAACAATGATGGCTCAGGAGCGCATGTTCAAGTTGCCTGGTATGCCTCATTTCAACCCAGAAGATCAGTATGACAGTGAGGAGGAGGATGACGATGACGATGACGGATTCAACTTCAGATGGACAGTCTGATAACGATCACGACAATGATGACGATGCGCCGCCAGCCTTGCGTCCTCGACCTAGCGGAGGTCGCCCCTTGACGAGGCAGGATATCGAGGATGAGATTAGCATCTTGCAGCGAGGGGGCCGCCAAGAGGGGTGTGGGTTGATGTGATGGCGATGATGGATTGATGGATCGGTGGATTGGAAGGTTGAGGGAGGGATGTGGGGTTCTGGGGACTGGAAGGATATATCGCTTTTTTTTCTTGTAGGTGCAGGTAGGATGTTAGGTAGCATGCGAGGACGTATGTAGTCGGCAACGCGGAGTTGTTTGAGGTCAGGAAGTGCAGTTGAATGCAGGCTTATCCCACCCGTCCCTACTGCTAAAATACCGTTGTTTTTGCTTCTTTTATACAGACTGCTGATTCTCTTTCTGCGTACATGCTGCTTAGCATGTGTTACAAGAATACTACCGAATTAGCCTATTCCACGATTTCACGGTGCCATTATTTTCAACATATCCATGATATTTTGTCCGTTGAGGCAGACGAAAAAACGTAGAAACGATGTCGCGACAAAAGCGACAGTATCGGACGTGGTGCACTTGACTGCGTGGATACCCAAATCACGCAGATCCCTGTGAGGCTCAACTGCACACGCGCCACGCGTTCTTAGGCCCACGTACCCTGAATCTCGACCGCAACACCGACCCCGTCCACGTTCCCTCAGCCTGGGACCAGACCTCACCTTCTATTCCACTACAATCGCACAGTTTCTCGGTTGCCCATCATGAGTAAAATGTGGGAGGTGGATCCGGAGACGCGGAGTAAGGTACGTTGCGCCTTCTACAGCTGAAGGAGGGGGACGTTAGGGGTCAATTGCGGCGTGAAGGCAGCACAGGTGATGAGTCGAGCATGCGCATACGACAGAGGCTAATCAATTCCGTACGCAGTTGCTCGAGATACAAAAGACCAACGACAACAACAAGTGCGTCGACTGCAATGCGCCGAGTCCGCAATGGGTATGCAACCGCCCTTCCTCCACCTGCGCACGCGATCACCGCCTACACCTACTAAGATGAACTGTCCTAGGCTTCGCCCAAGCTCGGTATCTTCATGTGCCTCTCCTGCTCGGGTGTGCACCGCGGTCTGGGTGTGCACATCTCCTTCATCCGCAGTATCACCATGGACGCCTTCAAGGGCTCGGAACTCGTGCGCATGGCTGCCGGCGGCAACAAGCCCTTCCAAGACTTCTTCAACACACATCCTTCGAATACGAAAGACGGACGTACATTCGAGGCCTCGTCCATATCAGAGCGATACGACTCGGAAGCGGGCGACGAGTGGAAGGAGAGACTCAGCTGCAAGGTCGAGGACAGGGAATTTGACAAGGCAAACCTACCCAAGCGGTTACCCAAAAAAGACAATGCATCTACAGCCGGCATGGGCGCGCCCTTGAGCGGACGCGCCAGCGCAGCCGGAAGCCGAAGCCAAACACCCCTAGGAAAGACACGAAGCAACGACGCAGGCTTCCAGCGCTCGGGCTCCCCCGCTCTCGGCACCAACGCCATGTCTAGTCAGAAAGTGAAGAACGAAGCCTACTTCGCTAAGATGGGCCAAGAGAACGCCAACAGACCAGACGGCGTTGCGCCGAACCAAGGCGGAAAATACGGCGGCTTCGGCAGCGAGCCAGATGCCTGGAAGAAGGATGACGAGCCTGGTGCGCCTCCTGCGCTGGACGACTTCCAGAAAGATCCTGTCGCGGCGCTTACCAAGGGCTTTGGCTGGCTAGGCGCAAGCGTGAGTAAAGTAGGCAAGACGGGGTATGAAGGCTGGGTGAAGCCTGGCATGGCAAAGGTACATCTACCCTCCTCCCAAGAACCCCAGAAACTACAAACAAACGACTAACACATCATGCTCCAGCTCGCAGAAGCAGACCTCGCAACCCAAGCCCGCACCACAGCCGGCACCCTCGGCCAAACCCTCCAATCCGGCGTCGCAAACGCAAACACACAGTTCACGCGCTTCGTCGAAGGAGGCGACTCTGCACACCCTTCTTCTTCTTCCTCTTCCCGGGCCCCGTTGTCGGGTCAGCGCGAACCTGAGCGCAAGGACTTTTGGGAGAGCTTTGGTGCGGCGCCAGCGGGGCCGGCGAAGGATAAACAGGACTTTTGGGATGAGTTTGGGAGTGCGGGGGAAGCTAGGGCGGGTGGTGCTGGTATGGCAGGGAAGAAGCCGAGTGGGATTGGGACGAGTGCTATGAAGAAGGGGGGTGCTGGTGGGGGGATGGGTGGAGGTGGAGGGGCGAAGAAGGATGATGAGTGGGGGGAGTGGTGAGAGAGGGTTTGAGGGAGGGGTGAGGCGTTTGGGCGTTGGATACGCGGGTGTGGGTTGGGTTGGTATGGTTGGTGTTAGACAAAGAATGGGAAGTATTGCTATCGGTTTGTGAAGAGTGCTTCATCTTCATTCTTTGCATGTGGCTTCACCTGTATCGATGGATTCCAACATGGTAAACATCATAGGTCTCAGGTACGCTTTTGCGCTATACTCGTTTCCCATCTGATTCAATCACGCTTACCATCTCTAGGGATCGTGTCAAGCGTATTTGGTTCGCTCCTTCCTATGATCGCCGTGGAAACCGTACCTTCCCAACAGCCACTCTCACCACTTTCATGCCTTCCTGCGTCGCGATCTCATCTCACCTGGGAGACAATCGATCCTGTTCATTTTCCTATCTCTGGAATTCGGAGACAAAGACTTCTGGGCAGATTCCTAGAGTGTGATGAGCTCTTCAAACCTGTCGCTGCTACACTGGCCAAAGAGTCCTTCCCTATTAGTCTAATATTGTGGCCTGTTTTGCTGTAGCGTTTGGCGCGACTGCCTTCCTCACTAACTTCCTGCCCAGCTCAACCGTTCGCAAACGCCACGACTTCGTCATCCCACCACGCAAAGCGCAGCGACCACACGAGATGGATCATCTTCCTTCCGCAAACCACGGAAGCTACCTTCTTCAACTGCACGTCGGTGACGAAGCCCGAGATCTGGCTTTAGCGCGTCTCCGAGACCCTTATAATCCCGCTTCCTCTCCCGTCTCTCCGTTTCTTCTTCACCCAACCACTCAACAGCAACAGTACCGTTGGACAGTTGCTTCTTTTGTACCGTTTCTCTACTCAGTTGGTACGTCTCTCTATCGCTTCTCGTCCTGACCCTTGGTCTGCACCATGCCAGCACTCGAACCCCCTCGACTTCCTCTCCCATCTGATGCTGCTCAGAGCATATACTGACACATCTCAGGGTCACATCATACCTTTGGACTACAGCTTCAATCGAACTCCTATCCTGCCTACTGGTTGAGTAGGTCGCCTCGTCTTGCTCTTCATCAACAAGTGCTGACGCACATAGTCGATCCTTCTTACCGATCTGAGCCGTCATCGTCGAACTGAGCTGCGGTTGAACTCCACTGCCAGTATGTATTCTTACCCTCCTCCTCCCTCTCTTCTCCAACACAGTATGAACCCTCACTGACGCAAAGCAGAGCTCCTCGACCATGCCTCGCTCCACCCTCGTCGTCGCGAGTGCAGTCCTCGCACTCCTATCTCCCCTCGCCCAGGCCAAGATCAAGAGCGAAATACGCACGTACCTCTTCACCAGCGACGACTGCAATGGACCAACTATCGGCGGCAACGAGGACCTCAAGCCCAACAAGTGTCACGACATTGTCAGCGGCGCCAACAGCATGAGGCCTTCGACGAACAAGCACCAGGAGTGGCTCAACCAGATCAACCTCGGACAGCAAGAGTGCTGGCTCGCCACATACAAGCATCACGGCTGCTCAGGCTACCCATCAATTGTCGAAGAACTCCCCGGGGCCATCGATCAGTGCTTGTCACCAGACGAACAGTTTCTCTCCATGATGTTTGGATGTCGAGACGTGAAGTCAGAGAACGTTACGACGACTACCGTTGTGGTGGCACCACCCAACATCGTTACCGTGGCTCCGCAGCCGATCGCAACTTCCTACATTACGGTAGTTGAACAACCGGCCTCAACCACCATTACGGTAATTGAAAAACCGGCCACAACCACCATTACGGTAATTGAGCAAGCGAAGAATACCGTTACCGTCTATCAGAAGCCGAACAATACCATTACCGTCTATCAGCAGCCGATCACAACTTCCACCGTGGTCACCGAGGTTGGGATTGTGGGCTATCTCACGACATGGATGCACGCCGGCAGCTCCTTTACCAACTACGTCTCTACTATCTTGACGACTTCCACCAAGACTTTGTACTCTACGAAGAGGACTGTCCCCACTTCCACCGAGACTATCATCCCGAACCCCACGGAGATCATCCCGCTAAGACCCTTCATCATGCCGACCTCCATAGAGACTATCACCCCGATGCATTACGGAACCGTGCTTCCTAGCTCTCGGCCCCATACCGTAACCGCCTATGTCGAAGACAGCCACTACCCGCGCGAGCGTCGCTCCGACCCTCAGTCCGAGGCCCATGCTCTGGAGCCACGCCGCAGGAGCAAGTGGAAGGGCCCTCGGATTGGTGTATGGATGAAGCACCCTTGGTCTCAGGCGGTCATTTGCTACGAATGCTACGCCAAGGCTCATGACAATCTGTGGAAGTTCGAGTGCCGCTCTGGACCGAACAACCCCGTCTCATGCGAGGGCCCGGCACCTGATCCCAACGAAACCGTCACCGTCACACATACTCCAGATGTCACGGTAACCCAGGGTGCAGCGATCACCAGCGTGTCAGTCGTTACAGTAACCGCTGGGCATGCGATTACAACGGTCATCGGCGGCAACCCAATTCAGCCAATGCAGACCATTACGCTCGGCCAGAAGGAAGCCGATCTAGAACGCCGCTCATTCCACAGGGCCGTCAGATTCACCCACCCGTGGTATCCCGGCACAGAGATGTGCGCAGATGCTGAATGGGAGGAGCGTGGATCGAAGGGGTCAGAAGTCCGAATCCAAAAACCCAAGGAAGACATGAAGAAGTGCACTCCGAAGCAGCAAGTGCAGTACATCGACGCCACTCCAGAGACGAAGACTGTCGTACTCCCTTACTCTACTGTCTCTGTGATCTTCAGCACCTCCACGGTTTATCCTCCGGCTGTCGTCACCGTCGCTCCTCCGTCTATCGTCACCGTCGCTCCTCCGTCCGTCGTCACGGTCATTGGCTCTCAACCCGTGGTTACTATCACCACCATCTCGGCTCCTGCCATGGTCACCGTCACTCATAAGTTCCCTCCTGCACCATCGTACGTCACCACAACCATAATCGCCGCCCCCGAGCCGCCTTGCACCACCGAACCCTACTCCATCAAAACCGTCTACGTCGACCCTGAGCCACCCTGCACCACCACCCCCGCACCTGTTTCCATCACAACCACAACCGTCTTCGTCGACCCCGAGCCACCTTGCGATACGGTCACCGTCGCCCCCGAGCCACCCTGCGACACGGTCACTGTCGTCGGAAGATCTGCGCCCACGCCCTACACCACCTTCTACTCAAAGCGCCAGCAGCTGCGCGATCTCTGAGTTGTCTCTGAGTTGTCGGAGTAAAGGAGGAGGACTGCGCTTGGTTGATGATGTTGTCAAAGCATGATTCTGTTTGTATTGTTTAGTGTTGTTTCGTTAGTTGAAGTATGATTGTTGGGCCCAAGGCCACCAAACTGCTCTTGTTTCTTTCTCGTGCGATATCTGTTCCCTGTCCATGTTCAACGCCACCTGATGTGCGTCCACCTTTATTTTGCGTTTCAACTACTGGTAGCTTACGGTGTAGTACATGCGAAATATTGCTCTGGCTCTTTGCTGTTGCCTTCGAATTATTTCTTGAATGCATATATAACACATTGGTGATATTCCCGCCAGACTTTTTCCACGGCATACCACCCCAGACTAAAAGAACGGCGAGGAAGAAACACTCGAGAACAAATCATCCCAGTCCACTAGATCCAACTGTATCGCATCATTCACATGGAAAGAATGCTGTTGCTCCCCCAATCCATCCGGGGGCAAATCTTGCAAAGACTCCACGGCACTCTGGCCACCCACTCTGCTTCCATACTTCTCTCCCATATCCCCAGCATCCCGATACCGCGCCACAATCTGCATGAGCGACTCATACAACTTCGCCGCCGCAAGCGAATCATCCCTCGCATCAGCTATCATACGCAACCCTCTCGCTAAATCGCCATCTTCTTGCAGCTCAGCATGTACTTCACCCGACCTATTGACACAAGCATCCATAAGCAAAGCGATAGTAGCAATAAAAATACTATACAGCCCCGCCGGAGGCCGTTGCGGCCGTCTCGCAAACGGGTGCCGCGACTGCAGTAATTTTGTCTCGAGGTATATAAGCTGCCGGGCGGAGTACAGACACGCAGTGCGCGACGAAGGCGTTGTTGGGGTATCCATCGACGCAGACGGACGTGTCAGCGTAGTAAGATGCAATTTACAGCGCTGAGTGTGGATGAGCGTGTTGAGGAAGTAGGCTTGGATGAAGACGTGGTTTGGCTTTTCCGATAAGAATGTAGTGTCGCAGTAGTCTAGCAGGAAGAAAGCGGGTGTTTCGTGTATTAGTTGTACGAGTTGGTTGTCCATGGCCATGAGGTAGGCGGAGCGTTGGAAAGGGTCGGAGGTGAGTTGGTCGACGAGGGTGCGGGAGATTTCTGCGAGCCGGATGCGCTGCAGGAAGTAGGACATGTCTGTTTGTTGGGAGAGGGGGAGGGAGGGTTGGGGTCCGGTGGCGAGGAGGTCGATGTCGTTGATGTTTAGGGGCTTGTTTACGTGGAAGTGGAGGGGGTTGGTTTGGTAGATGCCGCCGCTGGGTCCGCCGTAGCGCGCTGCGAGGAGCCTGGGTGGAGCGGTCAGTCTGCTTTGTAGCTTTCATGCATCGATTTCTCGAGAAGAGACGTACCAATCCGTTGCGATTAGATACCACCACACACGACGGCCAACCTCTGCTTTGAGCGTCTGGGCCGCATCGGCATTGGATCCGTGGTCGATCCGGTGAAGACCCATTTCCCGACATAGCAACAAGCCAGTTGATATCAAGGAGCGGTATCGTAGCGATACACCTTCTATGTTGCATAAGACGTATGACAAGATTATGATGCCTTGTATAGCCTCCAGAGCCAGTGAGGGCCCCTCTTGCAAAGTATCAAGCACAGTATATGTGGCCTTGATCCAAGTGGATGTCTGAGAGCGGGCTTGGGTCGAGGACAAGAATAGGGGACGTTCTCTGTTCAGTCCGTCCGGCATACTCCATACATGCGTTGTATGAGCGATGATACTTAGCAGTAGAACGACTTTGCTGGGATGAACAGGCTCACCACTTTCGATTCGACGGTAAATTTCGTCGAGGACGGCTGGTAACGAGGGGGTGTGCGTTACGTGTTGAATGTAGTTGAGCTTGGTGATGTAGATGTCGAGGAGTATGGTGGCTTCTTCCTTTAGTGGGAGCCAGATACATGGTGTTAGTCTACCGAGTTGCGTTGTGTAAGTCGGTTTTGGCGGTATTGTGCGGATCTGACCGATCTTGAAGGTAGCATGGTTTGTGGTAGACAGTTCGAAAGAGCTCTGACTCATGGAGACGCCTTCGAGGTGCTCTACCATGTCTTTCGTTTCTTGAATATCAGAAGGTTGGTTAGTCTCGATTTCGTCTCGAGTGGTTTCATAAACGAAGGTCGTTCGAACGCTTTCGCTGTCGTCATTGCCGGCCTGCAGAGGAAAGGTAGTTTCTTGTGCGATACGTTCTTCTAGCTCCTGCACACGAGTCTTTAGCGCAGCTATCTCATCCTGCATATCAGGTTTTCCGGTTGAAGAGAAAGGTGTCTGGATGCTCTCATATGGCTGTTGCTGTGTGAGCGAAGCCCCGATCGAGACTGGTGTCTGAGGGCCTTGAACTTCGCGTGCCGCTGGCGTAGGATCAAATTGACACGTCTTTCCCCGCGACCTGCAACTTGTGCATGGCAGCGGTCGATCGCAGCGAATCTTGCGCGACCGACAGAAGTTACAGGAGTATTGTCCTTTGCGATTGGAACGCTCTCGCTCGCCCGAAGCTGGCATGATGGTTCTCTAGATCTTGGTAGACAATCGCAATGAGAGAATAGTGGCAAGAAATCAAGAACCGTATTCTCTAGACTGGGGAGGAAGATGGTTGGTCGCATGAGGTATGTCTACAGGTGAGTGCCAAGCATTTCGCGGGTATTCCGCGGAATACCCGTGACGGGGAAGCGATGCTGACAGCATATTTCTAACTGGGGTCATACGCCACATGGTTACAGTGTCGATTGTACGCGCGAAGGATCCAAGAGGAGGTAGACCTGAAACGAATTGACCCTACAGACGGCAAGCTTTTCATAGGAGCGCACTTTCCAGTGCTTCGGAAGGGTGGCGCTTTAGGATATCCATCGTACGGGCCTGCTATCCTTCGCTCTGAGACATGAATGAGCCGACCTGGAGCTGCAAGAGGTACCGGTAGTAGATGCGACGCTGTTGAAATCCATGTGGTGATAGGACAGATGCAGATAGATGGATTCAGAGGTGCGATGCGACGGTGGGCGAGCAATGCCAATGGCAATAGCGAGACCAGACGCCGACATTTGCACCAGTCATGCTCGCCAAGGCGCAGCTACCATCTGACTCGTTCTCAAAATAATTCCATCCTCCACTTGCACCACATCTTCCCCTCCACCACAACACCAATGTAACCGATGTCATTCATCCCCCGCCATGCCTTCCCGCAAATCCCATCGCTGCCCCGGTCCTACTTCCTGGGCCACCACAAAGCCGGCCTGGCGAAGATGAAATCCCTCCTCTCCTCCATCGACCTAGTAATCGAATGCCGCGACTACCGTGTCCCGCTCACCTCGCGCAACCCTCTATTCGAAGATGCACTGGAAGGAAAAGAACGAGTCATTGTGTACACGAAGAGGGATTTGGGCGGTGGATCGCGCGATAACCGGAACGAAGATGTCATTGCGAAATGGCATCACCCTACTACGACGATGTTTGTGCGGAACGGGAAAGAGGCCGAGGGCGAGATTAGCGGACGGAAGAGCGTGATCAAGCTCTTGGATATCCTGCGTGAACACGCGCAGAAGAGGTGGAAGCTAGTCGGCCACCGCGTCATGGTAGTAGGCATGCCCAACGTGGGTAAATCCACGCTCCTCAACGCCCTTCGCGCACAAGGAATCGGTCGAGGAAAAGTCGCAGCCACGGGCGCACAACCGGGTGTAACGCGCAAAGTGAGCAGCAGCGGCGTGAAGATCATACCGAGCGAAGACGACATGGAAGCAGCGGAGGCAGCGGCGAAGAAGAAGCTGCAAGGCGTGGGCGGAGGTGTATATTTACTCGACACACCCGGTGTCTTCATCCCATACGTCCCCGACGCAGAGGCTATGATGAAACTAGCGCTCTGCGGCTCCGTTAAGGATACCATCATCGCGCCTGTTATGCTCGCTGATTACCTGCTCTACCACCTGAACCTCCAATCGCCGTCGCTATACTCCGAATACGCGTCGCCTACCAACGACATCATCGAGCTCCTTACTGAGATCGCGAAGAAGACTGGTAGATTGGGCAAGGGCGGGGTCATAGATACGGAAGCGACGTCGTTGTGGATGATTCAGAAGTGGAGGCAAGGCAATATGGGACGCTTTCTGTTGGACGAGGTGGATGAGAAGAGTTTGGTTAAGGCGAAGATTGATGAGAAGGGGCTTACGCCTAGTTTTAATCAGGCGAGGAAGGTGGAGCGGGAACGCAGGAGAGAGAGGAATAAGGCGAGGGGGGAGAAGTAGAATGGTGAGGCGGAGTGGAGGTGGGTATGTGGCACGGGTTGCGCAAAGCGTCTAGTACAGATGTTTAATGTGACCACGGCTTAATCGAACCACGGCTTCGAAGGGATGTCCGCCATACTCATGCTCTGCAATTGTTCTCTGCCGCATCTAGGACAAAAGACGGTACAGTTGACCTATAAGTTATACCGAAGCCCTCGTCTTACAGCGCAATAACCCTAGCGAAGTCACCAATTCCTCCTTGATATCTTTGTTTCCCATCCTTCAAACAGATCTGGGCGTAACATTCCACCATCTTACACAACTCCATCAACAAAACTTCCTCCCCACATGCCTTACCCCACTCCAAGTCCATCAAACCCCAGAACACGCAAAACAAATACATGAATCCGCTCAAACAGCCCCCACCGGACCCCCCACATCAGTTCTACCAAGCATCCTATTATACGGCGGCGGCTCATCATGATACGGCGGCGGTTCCTCCGTATGAACAGCCATCTCATACATCCTCGGCGCAGCATCCAGCTCATGATACGCCAGCGGCCCCGGCCCAGCCTCCAACAAATTCGCACTTTCAATCGATGGTGCAGCCTGCCACTCCGTAACCACCTGCACAGGCTGCGTACACGCAATACCAGACCATTCTCTATCCGCACATCGCCCTGTGATCTCGATCTGGAGTTCGTATTCTAGATTCAGGCCGTAGCTAGTGAAGCTGGGTGCTATGGTACCATCCTTTGCGATATCAATATTCGCCACGTCGAGGAGGTTGAGGCCGTCGTAGAGGGGTTCGCCGTCGCCTGTTTCGTATTTGTGGTCGCAGAGGACGATGGTGCGGCGGTCGGTGTGGTTGGTTACTCTGCTGGGGTGTTTGAAGAACGCTTCGTTGGGGAGGAAGACGTTGATCTTCGCGTTTAACTGGACTTTTAGGCGCCGGATGAAGAGATCCGGTGGGGAAGGCAGCGATTCTGAGCGTTTGGTGTGTTGCACTGTTACGATGGCTGGGAGGGGGGATCCAATGACTAGGATGCTGGGTGGAGTGGCGAAGACGTTGAATTGGGCGTAAGGGATTTCTGCAAAGGATTCGATGCCGAAGAGGAGTTCTTTGTCGGCTAGTTTGTCTTTGAAGCGGCCGAGTTTACTGGAGTTTTCGCCGTAGTTGGGGAGGAGTTTGCGTGTCCGGATTAGCTTTGCTGCGCTGCAGTGTTTGGGTAGTTTGGTGCCGAAGTTTAGGTCGGGTTGCAGGAGGGAGCGGTCGTAGGGGGGTGCTGGTGGCATGTAGGTGATTTCTTGTCGGACTCGCACTGGTGGTGTGCCGGGTAGATCGGACTCCATGTACGCTTCTAGGTGGTATACGACCCGTGGACTTGTGGGTGTGGGACCGTTGAGTGTGGGAGGTAAAGGGAATCCTGGAGAATGCTGGAATCGGGGGTGGTTCCATTGGTCTCCTGGGTGAAGCCATACTCTACCTAAACGTAGGTTTACGAAGTCAGTACATGTCTCACGTGCAGTTTGTACAGCGATATTTCTTACCAGCGGGAGGCGGTATCGTAGCATGGTTTCCGAATGTAAAGGAGAAAGGCAGCTCGACTCTGGCGGGATCCCTCACGTTGTTGGCACGGAGGTGGAAGTCATCGGCTGCAATTTCGTGTATGTAGAGGAATTGCGAAAGTCCATAGAACTCAAGATGCACGCTTCTTCCATGGGCATCTTCAACGGCAGAGAAGCCTTTTAGACTTATGCTTATGCGTTTAGGTTGTGATGTGGGCACCACGATTAGCTGGCCTTGCACGCAGTCCCCGCTTGTGTAGGTCGGTGGCGGATTGAGCACTTCGATGTAGACGGGATTGTCTCTGCGATTAGTTCGGCTGCCGGTCGCAGCAATTGCCAGTACCATGATCAGCTGATGGATGATGGAAGAATGTATGATAAGGATATGAGAATAATTGCGGTTATGGAAAACAATGGCATTGTACAAGGCTGCCCACGGGGTCAAGTATCGACGGCGATGTCGCTTCGGTGCCGCCCCTGTTCCTCGGGACCTGCCATACCAAGCCCTAGGGTGTCACGAGTTAGAGCCGAAGTTCCATCTTGGTATTCAAACCCGGGTTTGATTGTCCTGGACGCCCTATGGGCCTAAAGACCCGCGTATCAGCACCGGTGGCTCAGCCTCGATGCTTCGACAAGCAATACTCGCGAGATCGCCGTCAAATCTCCGTCTATCAGGCCCGCCGTGGTGTTGCAGGTGTGTTGCGCGATGACGAGGCGCTTTGTGGTGATGCTCATTGGTGGTGTTGGCGGCGCCGGGGTCGTGCCGTCATCGATGGAGGGCGCGACTCGCGACTTCTCGACTTTTTGACCCTCGAGCAGCCCACGCCCGTCCCAACCAACACGGCCAGCCATGTCGTCCAGCTACACCTGCACAGCCTGCTCCAAGGCCCTATTGAGGTCCTCTACCTCGCTGCTCCAGGTACACAGCCACGACCCCCTCCCCAAAGCGGATAATTGACTCTCGTAGCGAACGAATCGAGCGTCTCTGCGCCAAGCACGTCGAACAATCTCCACCACCTCGCCCACCGCCTACCATGCCTCGCAAACGCTGTCAGCAGATGTCAGGCCCGAAGCGATCAAGAAGCCGCATCCCGCTGTTGCATCCGGCGTGACTGGCCTCGCCCAGAAGCTGCGCGAAAAGGCACCACTCATGACCGAGACGTACGTCGCATATGGCGCAACACGGGACCTCATCAAGGAATGCACGAAGCCCGGTGAATACAAGATACCCCAGGCGCTGTTAAAGCGGGGCGAGATACCCGTCGACGAGAACGGTGTGCACCTAGGCGAGGCCGAAGGGTGGTGGTATGACAGTAAGTACTCACAATGAGGATACCCAGGCCTTTCGCTGACACATTTCTGCACAGCCCTCGGACTCAAGCCAACCTTTTCGAATTGGGCCCAAATCACCTTCATCCATATGTACATGCTACAAGTCCGCTTCCGCATGTTCCCCCAGTCGCACGCACCAGTCTGGATCCAGCACCTCACCAACCAAGCCTTCTACGCCGCCGAGGACAGACTGGTCATATGGCACAAGTTCAACGCCAATTCGCTGCGTCAGAAGCACCTCAAGGATATGTTCTCGCAGTGGCGGGCGGTGCTGCTGTCGTACGACGAGGGGCTGATGAAGGGCGACGCTATGCTTGCGGCGGCTATCTGGCGTAATCTGCTCGGCGCAAAGGAAGATGTTGACTTTGAGAAGCTGGCACAGATTGTGGGGTATATGAGGAGAGAGCTCAAGAGGCTGGATAGTGCTACGGATGATCAGGTGGCGGATGGGACGTGGACGTTCCGTGGTAGTCCCGGAGACGAGGCGGCTGTTGTTAAGGCGCCGAGTAGGATGATGGCGGCTGAGACTTCGAAGGCATGAGGAACGAACGGTATGAATGGGATGTAAGAGAAGAGCCATGTATCAACAATGTGTATATATCTTATGAGAGATGTGATATGGAAATAAGCCTGTTTACGTTCTTTCACATCTCACCCATGCGCCTGCATACTTAAGCTCAGCGCCTTCTGCAACTCTTCCTTGTTAAAGTTTATAATATTTAGAGCAGCTAGTACTAGCTACCTCTAGAGTATATAAGAGCGTCTTTACCTATATTTTAGTCTTTAATTAATTTTTAATTTATTCTATTTAATAAGTTATAAGCTTAAACTTACGCTACTAAAATTTACTTTAAAGATACTTATATTTACTCTTTTTTTACTCTTTTAAAAAACTTATAAGCAAATCTTTTTAATAGAGTAGCTTTAGATTTTTATACTAGTAAGTTTAAAACCTTTTATAATACTTTATATTATTTAGAAAAAAAGAGAGAAACTTTTAACTCTACGCTTATTTTACTTAATATTAAGAAAAACGCTAATAAAAATTAGTTAATAAAAGACTTCTAGTAGTAATTCTAGCTAAGTAGTAAAGTAAGCTTTCTCTATCTAAAGCTAAATTATTAGTAACTATACTTCTTAGTATAACTTTATTAGCTTATTAAGCTATACTTTATTTACTTTTTTTCTTAAAGAGCTACTTAGGTAGAGAATAACTTAAGTAATATAGCTACTAAAATAATAACTTATCTATAACTAGCTTATTACTTTTCTTAATACTTACTTATTTACTATTTTAAAAGCGCTATTTTTATAACTAACTTCTAAAAGTAAGCTTATCTTTAGCTAGCTAGTAATACTATTTTTTTAAAACTTAGTAGAATTCTTTAGATCTAGAACTAAATTACTCTAAAACTAGACTTTATACTTTTTACCTACGTATACTAGTAAGTCTACTTCTATAGTAATAGCTTTTTATCTCTATAATATATAGAAATATTATTTAGCTTAATTTTTATAGTATAAAGTTTAAGTAGTAGTAATTATCTTAGAGATACTAGTTTTTATATAGAAAATAGTATAGATATACTTATAGCTATATAAACTATAAACTATATAGTAGTTTTAGTTTAAATTCTTAGTAGAATAAAAATTAAAAAGTTAGTAGAAATAGTGTAATCTAAAACTACTATAAAAAATACTAGTAAGTAGAAAACTACTATAGAATAGTAGTAGCTAAATCTAAGTAGATAGTATTAAAGCTATTTTTAGTAGATATACTAGAGTAGTAGTAAGCTACTATAGGTAAAATAGATAGTATAAGGCTACCTAAGAAGCTAATATAGTAAGGCTAATACCTAGTAATAGCGCTAGACTTTACTACTACTACTAAGCTTTTAAACTTACTTTTAGACTTTTTAACTTTTAAAAAATACTATTTTAGTATTTTTAGATGCTAGAGTGTAAAAGTACTATAAAAAGTAGCTTTCTAGTGTTTCTAGGCGCTAGAATATAGAAGTACTAAAAGAAGTAGCTTTCTAGTATTTTTAGGCGCTAGAAAGAAGAAAACTAGCTTTAGTAGCTTAACTTAGTAGCTTTATAAAAAGCTAGTAGTAAGTAGCTAAGTAAAATTTATAATAGAAGCTAGTAGTAGTATCTTAGAAAGCTAGCTAGCTTATAAGACTAAGTAGTATAGCGCTCTATTTTAAAAGTAGCTTATACTTCTAGCTCTTTTATTTTATAACTAGCTACTAGAGAAAGATATACTACTTACTAGCTACTACTTTTTTACTAATACTACTAGTATAACTAGGCTTTATAAGTATAATAAACTTATAACTATTATAATATTTACTTTAATCTTATTTACTATAGCCTCTAATACGCTAAAGATACTTTAATACCTAGCTATTTATCTACTTAATAGCTAATATTAATTTATAGTCTCTTAATACTAATAACTTTTTTTATATTTCTACTTTTTTAAATTTTAGTAGTAAGAGCTATACTAGTATAAGCGCTACTAAAAGCTAACTTAGTAAAGCTAGCTTTTATAACTTTTTTAGACTTAAAGCTATTACTATATTACTATATATATTTAGTTTTTTTATTTTTAAAGAAAAGCGTCTATACTATAATAGTCTTAACTTTATCTAAGCTACTTACTAATAATAAGTTTAAAGTAGAGTTAAATATTAGATAAAGAAAGCTATAATTTAGTAGATAAAAATAAAAAAACTAGCGCTAGAACCTAACTCTTTACTAGTAAAGTAGCGCTATAAATAAAATTATAGCTAACTTTAAGCTAATTTTAATACTAGATAGCTTAAATAACTAGATTTACTAAAAAAAATAAGTTACTAAGCTTCTTAGCTTTTTAGGCTATAGGTGCTACTTAGAAAAAAATAGTAACTATAATAGTATTATAGCTATTAAAAATAAGACTAATAAAAAAAAAATACTTTACTAGAAAATCTAGAAGAATAACTAAGATAAGGCTCTTTAGTATATAAAAACTAGATATAAAGTAAATATAAAGAAGCTACTAGTAGGTAAAACTACTATAGTCTCTAGTATAGCTACTTTATATAAACACTTCTATCTAATAAGTAGTATAGTATTTTAAAATCTATACTAAGCCTACTATATACTAACGCTAGCTAACTATAAGAGAAGAATCTTAGTATTTATAAAGTAACTATATACTATAAAGATAAAGCTTAAATCTCTAGACTTCTTAGTAGCTATTATAGAGCTCTTTTTTATTAACTACTTTCTTAGTAGCTTTATCTTTAAATACTCTACTTTTCTTACTACTTTTTACTAAATATATAGCTTTATTACTAAAAAGAATAGAAATAGTAGTACTATAAAGGCTACTATTACTTTTAACTAAGTAGTTACTACTACTAAAAGATTTAAATAAGAGCTTTAATCTTTTAACTATCTAAGAGAGATTAGTTTAGTAGTAAGATAGTTAGAAAGTTTTAAGCCTAGCACTTTCTATATAGTTTATAGTAAAGTATACTATACTATAAATAAGTACTAGTAGAAGTACTTTTATTTAAAGAAAGAGTTTTATAAAACTAATAAAAAAAAGTAGAATCTAAAGTATAAGAAGTTAAAAGTTAATATAAATAAGATACCTCTTTTCTCTATAGAAGGTCTAGCGTACTAGTAGTAGCTTCTAGAATTTAAAAAAAAAGCTAGTTTTAGCTTTATTACTATAGCTATATTAGAGCTATTAGCTAGCTAAAATACTATCTACTTCTTCTACTACTAGATACTTAATACTAGCTATAGTTACTATATCTTTTACTCTAAGAAGGTTTTTCTACTAGAAATACTACGTTTATATATAGACTTACTAATAATTAGCTTTAGAGATAGTTAAACTAAGCTATTCTAGATTAGTATAGTAATTTTAAACTTATATATTAATAGCTAACTTTAGCGTATAAAGCTTAGTAATACTTTCTACTACCTAGATATAGTATATAACTTTATTTCTATCTTTTAGCTCTAGTATAAGAGTATAAAGCTTATCTTTATAGATATAAATATATCTATTTCTACTACTATAGGTTTAATAATTTACTATAAGAAGTAAAATAGAGTTTACCTATTTAACCTTTAGTAGCTAGTTACTAAACTTACTACTTACTCTCTAAATTAGAATTAACTATTACTTTAGTATAAGTAGTATATCTATCTTAGCTAGATAAGCCTAGAAAAGGTATAGGCTATAGTTATAGATATAAGGTTTTTACTATCTACTTATATCTATAAAATCTATACTAAAGCTAAATTTATTTAGACTTTTTATAAAAAGCCTTTTAAAAGAAGTAAATACTCTCTAAACTTTATATATATAAATATTATTAAGCTACTTTCTACTAGTAAATAAAGAAAGTAGTATTAGCTTACTATTATTAATAATACTACTAAATTTACTATAGCTATACTTCTTTACTAGTATAGTAAAGCTTTATATATACTTAAGTAGTTTTTAAACTACTAGAAGTACTTTAAGTAGCGCTATAAGTATATTTATTTTAATAAAGTAAGTAAATTTATAAGCTATAAGATAGTAGTTTATTATATAGATAAGAGTATTTTACTTAAATTTACTACTATAAACTAGTATTAGTCTAATAAAGTTATAAAAGTTACTAACTAGATTTTAGAGAAACGCTTTTATACTATTCTTATTAATAGTAGTCTAGCTCTTAACCTAGACTTTCTAGTCTAAGTTAGAATAATCTATCTATATACGCTTACTTAATATAGCTCTTAAGTCTACTAAAACTACGTAGTACCTTAGACGCCTACTACTTTAAGTAGCTATTTAGCTAGTACCTTTATAATATACTTATATCTATATCTATCTACTATACGCCTACTATATATCTACTTTATATACTACTTTACGTACTATATAATACATAATTACTCTATACTATATATATTATATTATATTATACGTATATATATATATTAATATACTAAATATAGCTTTATATTTAGCTACTTTTATAAAAATACTATTACTAGTAATATTATAATACTATTACTATTACTACCTACTACTCTACTATATAAATACTTATACTAATATAAGACTTAACTAATATATTATACTACGCATCTTAGCGCTACTTAAGTAAGAAGAAAATACCTCTTTAGACTATTCTATATCTTTAGCTTCTTTATAAAGTCTAAGTTAGAACTTTTTATATTACTTTTACTAACTTTCTTAATTAACGCTTTTAGTAGATTATTTTACTACTTTATAAACGCGTTCTTAATATCTTCTAGCTTATCTATTTACTATTAGTCTACGCTGCGTAGCTATATATATACTTACTATATCTATATATTTATACTTACTATATATCTACTTAGTTCTATATATTTTTAAAGAACTATCTAAATAGACTAAGTTATTTCTTAAAATCTAGCTTTAACGCGCTAGTTACTTACTTCTTATTATTTTTATTAACCTTAGCTACCTTTTTATACGTAACTATTTCTATACTTAGAAACTTAAAGTCTACTTTATTTATAATCTATTTTAGATAGCTTTCTAAATCTATATATATATAATTAGCTACTATATATATATATATATACTATAGAGTTACTTACTAGTTATAACTAGTTTTAGAATAAGAGAAGGTATTATCTTATTACTTTTTTATAGTTTATTTAATACTTTTAAATATTTAGAAATTTAGAGAATATTAGATATAGAATACTTTCTTACTTTAAAGTTCTTATACACTATACGCTTCTTTACTACTACTTTCTTATATCTAATCTTTTATATCTAATCTCTTGTACCTAGACTACTTTCTTAGTCTTTTTTCTCTCTTTAGCTCTTTAGCTACTACGCTCTAATATATAACTTAAATTAATTTAGAATACTTACTACGTTCTAGCTACTTAACTTATACTTACTATAATTACACTTTTTATTCTATTTATAGCTACTATAATTACGCTTACTATCTTTTCTTAATAGTAGTCTAAGTATAAAATACTAGCTTAACTTTTTAGACTTTATTACTTATCTAAGAACCTTAACTCTTTATATTTATTTAAATATAACTTTATACTAAACTTAGTATAGTAAAATATCTAATATTACTTATCTCTAGCTACTAAATAGCTACTATCTTAGCTATAAAATAGAGCTAAGAAATAAAATTAAAAAGAATAAGAAAGTTAACTACTACCTTTTAGACTATAAAAGTACTTTAATATATAGAATACTATACTATAATAGCGTAGTTACTACTACTTATAATCTTATCTATCTAGAGAATAGATTTTACTTTATAAACTTCTAGATAAACTAGAAGTATACTAAAATAGACGTAGCTTCTTTATAATAGAATAGACTTTACGCGCTCTAAAAAAAAAGATAACTAGTAATTTATTTTTTAAGCTACTTAAAGTAAATATACTACTACTAGAAGATAGCTTAGTTTCTAAAGAAGTATCTATAAAAATAGCTCTTTTAGACTAACTAAGGCCTAAAACTACTCTAAATTTAATAGTAATAGTAAAGCTACTCTCTAATAAAATTTAGTAAAATTTAGACTTTTCTAATATTAAGACGCCTCTAAGTAGCCTAGATAGTAACTACTTACTAGACTAAGTAGTACTAGCTAGTATACTAAATTACTATTCTAACTTACGTATTACTAGCTATCTAGCTACTAGATCTAGTAGAGTTTATAGCCTACTTTTTATTTACTTTAGTACTACTTTTCTAGTAACTAAAGCTACTAAACTACGTATCTATAAAAAGGCCTAGTAAATACTATAATAGTTACTATAGTTAATAGTAATTAATAATAAAATTAAATCTCTAGAAGCTAATAGTATATAAAAGCTTATTTTAAAAGTTTACTAGTATACCTTAGATAGTAAATAGGTATTTAAGCTTAAAAGAGAACTAAAGAGTAAAGTTCTTAGGTATAAAGCTTACTAGATTATTAAAAGCTTTAAATAGTAGAAAAGTATAAACTACTAAGAAATCTTTACTTCTATAGTTAAGTTTATAAGCTATAAAGCTATATTTACTATTATAGTAGCGCTAGACTTAGAAATTTACTAAATAAATATTAAGACTACTTTTTTCTATAATAATATTAATACTAAAATTTTTATAAAGCTACTAAAAAGTTTAAAAAGTAGTAAGAGTAAGCTTTATAAACTATATAAAGTACTATATAGCTTAAAGTAAAGCTCTAAAATTTAGTATAAAACTTTAACTACTTTTCTAAAGAACTAAAGCTTTATACTACTTACTTTAGATATAAAAATATTTACTAAAAAGTACTTCTATATTACTATTTATATAAATAATCTTTTTATTACTAGCTTAGACTTAAATAAGATTTTAGAACTAAAGATAGCTTTTTTAAAGTATTTTAAAATAAGTAACTTTAGTAAGTACTACTTCTACTTAGGTATAGAGATTATTTATAACTATTTAAATTAGATTTTTTACCTATTATAAAAAAGCTATCTTACTAAAGTTCTAGTAGATGCTAGTCTATCTAACTATAAGCTAAATTTAGTATTTATAACTAGTAAATTAGAACTAGAACTAGAAAGCTTTAAGGTAACTAAAGAAGATACTAAGTAATATACTAAAGCTATTAGTTCTTTTATATACTTTATACTAGAAACTTACCTAGATATTATTTTTATAGTTTTCTTACTTAGCTACTATATAGCTAATTTAGCTTCTTACTATATAGCTATAGTTAAGTACTTACTTAGATACCTTTAAGATATACTTAACTAAGTATTAGTATATAAAAGTAACTTAAAGTTCTTATTAAACTATACTAATACTAACTAAAGTAGTAATATAGCTATAAAACGCTTAATATCTAGCTATATCTTTAACTTTAGTAGTAGCGTAATTAGCTAGTTATTAAAATACTAGTTTATTATAGCCTTTTTCTTCTATAAAGCTAAATATATAAGCTAAACCTAAGTAACTAAAAAAGCTATCTAGCTAAAGTACTTACTAGTTAAACTTTAAGCTATAAAGAAGAATAAGCTACTAGTAATACTTATTTTAGCTAATAACTAAAGTATAATAGCGCTAGCTAGTAACTTATATAACTATATACGTACTAAGTATATTAATATTTAGTAGTACTTTATTAGAAAGGCGTAAGAAGTAAGTAGTATAAACTTTTAGTATATATCTACTAATAAGTAGATTACTAATAAGCTTACTAAGCTACTACTTAAGAATACTTTCTAGTAATTTTAAATAGCTATTAGACTAGAAAAATAAGAGAGTTAGTATAGAGAAGCTTAAATTTAAGTAATAGTATAGTACTCTTTTTCTTTTTTATTCTAAGAGGTTTAGAGAAGTTTAATAAAACTAGCTAGCTTAAAGCCTATAAACTTATATAGTATAAGTAATTAAGCTAAAGTCTAAAAAAAAGTATTAAAGTTTATAATATTTAGAGTAGCTAGTACTAGCTACCTCTAGAGTATATAGAGGCGTCTTTACTTATGTTTTAGTCTTTAATTAATCTTTAATTTATTCTATTTAATATTCCTTATCCCTACTCTCCGCAGTCGAAGCCCGCCCTTTGCTCTTACTCTGATGATGCGCCTCCAAAAGACTTTGCTTCTTGACATACTCCATCACAATCTCTTCTTCCGTCTTTTCTTCCATCGTCTTCTCCCCTCGGTGCTGCGCCTGGAACTCACCTTGCGTTGTGCCTGCGACATGACCAGGATCATATGAAGGGGGTCGATGGGCGCCTGGTGATCCATCACTCGTTGTAGCTTCCATTTGCTCTGATGTTCCTGCTCGCTCCCTATCGAGATCTTCCCGTCCATTGTCTTCGTTCATCTGACGCTGTTCCTGGAGACTTTGCGCCATGGCTTGTTTCAGCTGTTCTTCGTATTCCAGGGCTTCTGTTGAGTGTTGCTGCGCTTCGACTTCGCTGGACGCCATCGCCTGGAGTAGTTCCTCACTGGATTCTGCTTCAGCGCCTGCGCGCGGCGTATCTTGTACTGGCTGATGGATAGACCCGCTGGTCTCCGCCGCTCCGAGCGGTACTTCAGGTTCGGTACCCGTAGTACACGAATTGTACTCCGAGGTGAGTGTCCCACTTTCAAGATCTTGGATCGAAGCATCCGCAGACCGGACTGAATCCGCGGTAGACTCATCAACCGCCTTGCCCTTCCGCTGTGCATCCAAAACATCCTTCATCATCTCATCAAGCCCATCCTTCCTCTTTAGATACTTCTGAATCAACCCCCACCTCTCAACAACATCCTCCTTCTCCTCCTCCCCACTCTGCACCCACTCCTGATACCCCTGCGCCGTCCTACTCGTAACAATATACGTCTGCACACTACTCCCAAACCTCTTCTGCACCTCCTTATGCACTCCTTTCATCATATGACTCGGTATCCCAAACAGCGCCGCCCCCGGCTTAGCTATAAACCCCCCAATCCCCTTTCCTACGCCCTTGAAGAAACCACTAGCACCTTCTTTCTGAGCACCCTTCCAGGGCTGCGTGAAGAGACCGGTGACGCCGTCGTACCAGCCGAAACCGAATTCGCGGCCTATAGCTACCATGCCGGATTTTAGGTCGGAGACTTTTTCTTGGGGGCGCACGGTGGTGTCGTTCCAGAGCTTGGGCGCGTTGTGGAAGCCTTTTGTTATGCCGACGGAGAGTTCCATGGGGGATTGGACGCCGGCTTTTACGATGCGTCCGAAGCCTTTGCTTGTGCGTAGGCCAGTGGGGCGTAGCATGTCATTGTCTTTGCTAGAGCTGGATGCTACGCTGGGAGTCCGAGATGTCGGAGTGGGGAGGTTGGGGGTGGTCTGAGAGCGGGCGAGCGGTTTCCGCTCCATTGCACTGGAATGGGGGTGTTGTTGTGAGCTTGATGAAGTGGAGCTCTCTCCTAATAGCGACGGCTCGCTCCTCTTTGCGGCGTTCCGTACTGATATGTCAGACTGCTGTCTGCTAGGTCCAAAAGGAGCTTGAACTGCCTTCGCCGTCTCTGAAGGCATTTCAGCTATGCCCATACTCATGCTGCCCAACGTCCTAAGTATCCCCATACCGAATCCAGATATAGGCTCCAGAGGGCCTTCATCGGTCTCATACTCCTGTGCCCTAAAGAGCTTGAGGTCATGGAAATCCAAAAGACCGGCATTGGCCAATGTGCAGGCGGCAAAAGCGCTAAGTCTGATTTGAGTGCGTTTAATGCGCCACACGGCTACTCGAGATGGTGCAAGGGTGCAACGAAGTCGGTCGGGATCGAGATACTGGTGGAATGACTGAGCGCCCATATCGCTGCCGCGCTCCGTGGCGATCTTACTTGCAAGGTCTTTGGCACGTTCAAGACTTTCGGGCTTTAAGCAGAAATTGATAGCATCCGCTAATTTGTCCGATGTGAGTTGCCGGTAGGGAATTGGATCGGGGCCAGCACCAGCTCGTGCGATCATTGCGCCCCAGAAAGGTTGGTCGCCGAAGAAGGGTATCACCAACGTAGGTCGGCCTGGAGTAGAGGTATAAGTTAGCTAGCTTTCGGTCGATCTAAGTTCTATAGGCGAAGAACTTACCTGCCGCGATGCCTGTCGCTGTAGTCCCAGCGCCACCATGATGAATGACACATTCGACGTGCTTGAAAAGCCAGTCATGCGGCACATTCCCTAACATGAAGACGTTCTCAGGAACGCGAAGTTCGTCCGCACCCATGCCACCCCAGCCTTTGGAAAGCAGCACACGTCTTCCGCCTGCAATCCTTTTCGTGGCCTCGAAGATGAGTTCCGTCATGGCGTTCGGATCGTCCAAAACGATACTTCCGAATCCAATGTACACCGGCGGTGGTCCATCATCAAGGAATTTCTGTAGCTCAGGCGTAGGAGTGTAATTAGAGGCCAGATTCAAGAAGTAGAAGCCAGAGATGGATATGTGGGAGCCCCAGTCCTTCGGTTTCGGAATAAGAGCTGGAGACCAGCAGTATGTGTGAGGAACTTTGAGGCGCTGGAGCATTCCTGGGGCCCAGATCATACTTACTGGCTCTAAACCGAGACATTTCGCTCGAAAGCGGTTTATGATGTCGCCCAAACCTTGCCATGAGAGGGCTTCGATCATAGCGTAACTGATGTAGTTGGTGAGTTGAGTATCAGCATTAGAAGATTGAATGTTCGCCAGAGGGTGGGGAAAGGCCTGGGTAGGAGAATATGGCATGGTGAACATAATATGAAGGGGTATTCCCAGCTTCTCTGCGCAATGAATATGCGCAAAGCTTGGTGGGTTGGCAATGATACAATCCGCGACGAAAGGGAAAGAATCGGCGTCGTTTGCGGAGCGATCTGAACTGTTATTGTCGGTAATGCCGTCACCTGTTTCGTAGCACGATCGCCAGCAGCCTTGAATGTATTCCGCGACATCTCTTCTTCGGCGACCGACATCCCCGCTGGCCAGACTGCGGAAACCTGGCATCAACCCAGGATTCTTGACCATGAAAGCCATCAGCTGAGAAGGGTCGCCACCGATGCTGAAAAACTCCAAGCCGTTCTCTTCTACAAACTTCTTGAAAGTAGGATGAGTTGCCAGACGTACACGATGGCCATAGGTTTCTTTCAAGACTTTTCCGAGAGCAACAAAAGGTTGCACGTCTCCGCGCGAGCCGACCACCTGGATAACCACATTTAGGGCTGGAGGTGTAACTCCTTCTTTACCTCCTAATGAAGGTGGGATGTATGCAGGAGGAGGCGGGCTGCTGTCTTGAACGCTTTGAACGTGCTCACGTAAAGCTGGTGTAAAGACTTGGGATAAACGTCGGTTGAGCTGGTTGATGCGGATGTTGACACGGCCGTCTTCGGTGACGCTTGCGCTGGTACCTAGGCCATCTTTTTCGTTGCGGATCTCGCCATAGATGTCGCCATATGGGGGAGGCGGAACTTCTTCGTCGGTCGCATCTGGAGTGACGAGGTCGGTCGTTTGCAAGGGAGCGTCATGTCCCGTTGATCCTGCGGTTTCAGTCTGGACGGCAGAAGCAGCTGCTTGTGCTTGTTGAAGCATTGCATGCTGCGCATCGGTCGGCGGAACAAGATGTTCATCTTCTAAAGGAGAATTTGTGGCCATGGTATCAAGCTGAGAAAGCAGTGTGCACAGTTCTGGCCGTCCCTGGTAGGTACGGCATCAGTAAGTACTTCATCGTCGAAGAGCGGCTTACGCCCTGGTGGAGGCATCGCATGAGTGCATTCGTGTATACCAGTCGTCAACGATGCTAAAGTCACATTAGTGGTAAGCTTTGCGCCTGCGAAGGATGCGCCTGCGTTCGCGAGAGGCTGAGGCAGGACCAATTAGGCAGACCTTGCGAGCTGAACACGGGAAGTTGGACCCCTTAATTACGTCATCATCATCACCAGCCTCCATAGACACGTACGAACCACAGGTGCGGTACTCACGCCATGAGTGTGTATTCATTAGGAGAAGCGTGCGTGTTCCAGATTTCCAGCTTGAGTGCATACCAAGACATTAATGTCCAACATTAAAACAGACCTTGCACGATGCCGAAAAACAAGCTTGTCATAGCCAACGTGCACAGCGCGTCCCAAACACCATGTACGCTCGCAACCGCACCACCAGTGAAATCCGCTAGTACACCTGTGGTGGTGCTCGTCGGCTGTCCGAGCCCTCCGCTACCGCTGTTGATAGAGTTGCCATCGTTGCCATCCGCGGTAACAGATGCGGTGATGGACATTGATCCCTCAACCACAACGACAGGTGTTTCTCCCGGAGTAAGTGAAACCTCGATACCATTAACCGTTGTCATGGCACCAGGCATCAAGGTTTGACCATTCGGCAGTAGCAAGCCTCCGCCATCAGTCGCCGGAATGAAGGAGAACCCAGAAGGAAGAGCACCCGGAAAGATCGTTGTGCCCCCAAGGACCACGCTGCTTGCTGCTGCACCTATCGCTATCGTTGTTGTACCAGCAACCAAAGCGGAAGAGTCGCGTGAGATGGTCATGGTGCCGATAATGGTCACCTCGCCTGGATCCAGTTCCGACGCAAGCTCGCTGACATTGACGGTCGTTCCATCTATGATTACTGTAGATGGACCTGGTGTCTGAGTAGCTTCCAGTAGCGGAATGGTTTGGGTACCGCCGATGACAAGAAAAGAAGCTGAAGCGTCTCGGGAAATCGCAACGTCGTTGATGGTAGTCACTTCTCCTGGGTCAAGTTGTGTGGCGACTTGATCAATGTCAACTGTCGTTCCACCGACTACCGCAGGATCTGATCGAGTTGCCAAACTCGGTGGAGGGAGCGCAAAAGTCGTAGTGCCGCCTATAACAACGAACGAAGCGGAAGTATCGAATGAGATTGCAACGTCGTTGATGGTGGTTTGTTGTCCAGCAGTGACCATGCTCGTAGCACCGCCAACCATGATAGCCGAGCGCGATGGGTCAATTATGATGGGGCCAACACCAGGTAAGACTGTAGTCTGCACTTCGTCTGGACGAGAGATTACTGTGGAAGCCGGAGGGTCAATGGGTAACGAAGGAAGTACAACCAGAGGTGGCACAGGACTTGTTGCTGTCGGACGGCCTGGAAGAGTATTTTGAGGCAACGCAGGAATAGTTGGTTGGTCAGTCGTACTGGTCTGGACATTTGCCGGGGTTGTAGTTCTGATGATTGAGGGCCGGGGAGCCAATCCTACTGTAGACGTACTTCGATCTGGTCAGCTGGCAGTATTACTAACATGAACTTGTTGCTTACCTGGATTCTGAAATGGTAGGCTCCAAGATGGCTGGATCAAGTTGACCATAATCAAACAGTGTCGAAGCAGTTATAACGGTCTCGGTGAATGGAGGTGCAGCACTCGATTGCGGTGCTCCCGGCAGCACTATCGTCACGACGCTGGTGAATATTGTCGTCTGGGTAGTATTTGGGCAGTCAGTCCGTGGCTCTGTTCGAGTTGTCATCATCGCGATAGAGCTATTCAGATAACGATTTGTCCTGCGAAAGATAAGCACGCTGCTAGTCCAAGCATGATGAACCTACATGAAAGTCGTCGCAGCGGCCTTCGCCGCCCTTTTCTCAAGGGCTGAACCAGATGTAAGTCTCGTTTCCTCGTCGGATGTAATTGGCACTGCCTGATCGGATGTAACTCCCACTACCTCGGTTCTGGTCGATGTTGTGCCGTTTTTGAAAGGGGTAATGTGGACAATTATGGAAGCGGTTACAGTAACTACGTTTGGGGGAGGGGAAGGGGTAGCAAATTCGGTCGGGGTTGAGGTGACAGTCGACACGTAGGTGAGACTAGTAATGAACGCGGGACATTCCGATGTTGGTGTCAAAGAACGAGCGAAGTTTACCGCGACGCCAGGACCTGTATCTCATAAGTCTATATCATGTGATTCTAGCCAGAAAGCTACCTGGAAAGAGCAAAACAGCAAGTGCAACCACTCTCATCCGGCACCGTAACTCTGTGTTCGCGATGGACCACCACATGTTGAAAAATACGAGATCTTGGGGATTGTCGATGTATGTATCAACCTACAAGCAACGCCTTAGACAGAACGAGGACGAGTGGTCGAAGGGAGGCGGCTAGATACGATATCTTCTATGGCGTGAGCTGATCGGTGGGCGACCAGCCAACATTTTTCAGCCTTGCGACCGGCCCCCAACCATGGTCTGGGCACGACCGTCGTGGTTGGCTAGAGTGTACTCCAATGCCTTAATCCGGCGAAATACGATAAACTTTGATTTTCTCTGCAGGCTACATGGTGTAAGGTTTTACATAGCCCACCAACCATATCATGGAATGTCTGGTTGTGGAGAAGGGCGAGACCAGCCGCAGAACTCCGGTAGTAATCAAGTATAGGCGCATCGACGCATGCGGAGAATCGCAGTTCTGTTGTTATCCTCAATCGCCGCCACCTGCAAAATACCATTATCCTTTACAGCCTGGGGACTTTGAAAAGATGGCGGAAGCACTATCGCTCGCTGCGTCAGGGGGCTGGTTTGGTAACGACGGAAGCTGGTCAACGTACGTCTTTCGCATTTTGTTTTACATGTATCCAGGCCTGAGCTGACAATAATAGGTTCCTGGTTCAAGTAGGAACGCCACCGCAAACATTTAATGTGCTACCGGCGACTCAGGCTCAGAACATCTGGCTTCCGATTGCCGACGAGTGTGTCAGACTGCAAGGCGGATCAGCCTCGTGCGGCAGCTCTCGCGGTGCAGCTCCGTTCCAACAAAGTCCAAGTCCTGGGTTCCAAGCGAACATGTCGTCGACCTGGGAAGCCATCGGTCTTTATGAACTCGGAATGGGAAGGATCCACGGAATCACCGGGAACGGCCTCCATGGGTTTGATAGTGTTGCGCTGTATAACTTCACATTGGAACATCTGGCGGTCACCGCGTATGCCTCGCCCGGCTTCTGGATCGGACAGATGGGACTGTCACCGGTGCCACTAAACTTCTCGGAGACAATAAGCTCGCCATCTTTGATCTCAGCTCTCAAAGATGATGGTCATATACCCAGTCTGACGTATGGATATCAGGCTGGCGCCCCGTATCGCAAGACGAAGATAGCCGCCAGCCTCGTTCTTGGAGGCTATGATCTTGCACGTTCATCAGAGCCCTTAACGATTGACATCAATACCGACGTGTCCAGAGCTCTTACAGTCGGACTCCAGGATATCATAGTGACCGACTCATTGAACGGAACACTTTCGCTGGTTGACAATGAGCGAATCCTTGCTCCGATCGATTCGTCCATCCTAGAGATATGGCTTCCGAAGTCTGTCTGCGATCGTTTTGAGTCCGTATTCGGTCTGGAGTATCATGAGAGGTCAGACAGATACGTCCTCACGGATTCGGCCAGGGATCGACTTCGGGGACTCAATCCCACCTTGACGTTCACTATTGGTACCAACGCCGTCACGGGTGGCAACACTACTTTGATCCAAATCCCATATGCGGCTTTCGATCTGCAGGCAGGGTATCCAATCTTTGCGAATGCGACGAACTATTTCCCGATTCGAAGAGCTGATAACGAGAGCCAGTACGCCATTGGTAGGGCGTTCCTACAAGAAGCTTATATCGGCGTTGACTTCGAGAATGGCATATTCAACGTCAGCGCGGCGAGATGGGATGATGGGGAAGCTGATATAGTAACTATCCCAGCTGCTGACCGTGATTCCGAGGTAGCCCGCGGGCAGGGCATCTCTGGTGGTGCGATAGCTGGGATCGTCGTGGGCTGCGTAGCAGCGATCGTACTCTGTATCCTGTGCGCATGGTTCTTTCTATGGAAACCTAGGCGAATGCGGAAGCAAAGCACAGTGCTGGTAGAAGAGAAGGGAGCTCACGACGCGCTAGATCCAGCTCCGGAGCTGACAGGTGTGACCTTTCACGAGTTGCCAGCCAAACACGGCGATAGCGAACTAGAGGAGATTGTGACAGTACCAGAGCTGGGTAGGGAGGAGCATGTTCATGAGTTGCACCCAGATTGCGTTCGATGAAGGAGGGCTGGTGCCGGATGACGCCTGCCGAACGAGAGACGCGCCCATGACTAAGCACGCTAGCGCGATAGCTTCCAGAGGCTGTCCCGAGGTCTCGCTCATGGTCAGCTGCGCTAGGTTTACACCACCTTCTTTCAACATATTATTTCTTAGAAAATTTTGAAGCAAACAGCCTCCTTTTCTTTCACCTCCAGAACCTGAGCAAGCGGCACAGTCCTCAAACTCGTACTGAATCACATCATCTCCTTTTACACTGTGGTGCACCGGAGAAGGAGCATATACCTTCTTTTCTCGGCGCCTTTTACATACAGCAATCAGTTGACCTATTGAAGCGATAATTGTCAGGCGTCACATCTATACCACCTCCATATTCGCCCAATCCGAACTGCTCGATGATCGGACGAGATGACCTCCACTAAGGACCGGCTAGACAGTGTGCAATAACAGGAGGCGGTAGGTGAATACCATGTGGCGGATCGCGGCTCATGTTATTTCGTTCACAATACGACCTTCCCGGCTGCATGTGAACAATATCTTGTTTCTTCTCCTGATCAGCGCAGCCCGTCACACAGCCCCAACGCCTAACAATGACGATCGACCCACACACTCTCACGCTTTCCACCGCTCTCGAAGCTCGCTATTCGCCCTCTGGCGAGAAGTGTGCTATCTGCCAGGAGTCATTAGAGGACGCGCCTCCTGTCTATGATCCAGCAGATGAACACATATCCGATACAGATAGCCAGGCTGACATGGAAGCAGTCGTTACAAAGGTCTGTGGCGACAAACACTTCTTCCACCGAACTTGCATCGAATCGTGGTGGAAGTCCGGCAACCCTCATCTAAACACTTGCCCTATCGATCGTACACTTTGCTACGGCGACGTCCGTGTACCCCAAGAGCCTGTCAACCTTCCTACGTATACTACATTCCCAGGTCATGACCCGCATGCACACGGTACCGTTCACCTAGGACCTCTTTCAGCTGATGACATAAATTTCATTACCGCCGCACGAAACCAGGCATTCATCTCAATGCTCACTCCGCATCAGGTCGTTACAATCGGTCCACTCGTGGGCAATCTGCTTGAAAGTGCGATCGAGACTGTGCAGAGACATACATCGGAGCTTGCTAACGAAGTTACGATCGACTGCTACCTGGATGCTCGCGACCTTGCGGAAGGGCTGGCCGCAGGTTACATCACGCGCGAAGATATAGATTTGGCCAACAGCATCGCCGAGAATATAATGATCACGGCTGTGAACCGTAGCATTGTATCGGTTGAAGCGAGGGAAGGTGTGCAGGCTCCTTCCACTGCCGGTCCACATATTTCTGACGACATGTTTGGGCAAACGGTAAGAACTGGAGCCGACGATGCCGATTTTCATCACTCCCAACCTTATCAACCCGGCCACAACGGTTCTATGGTTTACAGGACTGTACGCCTCCAGCTACAAATGGAAGGGCCACAGCATTACCTTGATAGTATGACTCATATGGTTGGCTTCTTCGACGATGACCAAGATGATTCTGGTGGGGGTAACATGGGTTAGGATTCTGTTAACGAGCCTGGTGATACCATCATTGCCAGCTTCTTCGAACTTCACCCTTGAGATTACCGTAGATAGGCAATGGCAAAAAGAGTATTCATGCGCCATACGTGTATCGTCTAGGTGAAGCTGAGTCAAACTGTGAAATCCTTCGAGACACCCCAACGTCTTCGTCGCTTTCTACAAGCGTGCGCCTTGCCACATATACTAGCCACCGTACCCCTGAAATTTTCCGGATTTATCCATCGGCTTTTATACCAGGTAGAAAGGGAGGTTAATAGCAACAAGGCAAGCCGGTGGGGAACACACGCAGTTCACACACGGCTCGACTCGAGCTGACAACCCCACCCCGCCACCGCATGCGGCAAAGCGCCAGATCCCGCTCAGGATGGCTGGCTAGCCTCCCAAATAATCTCAGCACGTCACGAGCACGAAAGCAACGGAAGCACGGTGTTCCAAGCCTGCAAGTGAAATCGCAAAGATCTCCGACTATTTCCATCTCTTGCAGCTCCGATGGCCATGGCCCCTTGGATATGTCTCCACTGAAGCGTCCGAGTGAAGATGCGGAGCATGAGGACGGGCGCCGACCTGCAC